ACATAGAAAGGACAGGGACCTTTATCCTGAAGTGTAGTTGAAGTTTCTCACTTGCTGATTCATCAAAACAGAGTGGGGGGGAGGGGAATTTCTTAGCAACTCTTAAGATGTAACTTGAGAGCCACCAAATCCTCTATTTGGTTACTACTTTGAGAAGTCCATGCCCGAACCTCCATATGTCTCAACCATTCCCCGAGCATCTCTCTAATAAATAAACTTCAACTCTGCTTCATTCTGGTCTGGTCTGCAATTCTTTCCCTGCAGCAAAGTCAAGAATCCCCACTTAAGTAGCATTCTTGGAGGAGAACTTTCTGGCTACTACAGCAGGCAATATGGAGGGAGTCCTGTCTCCAGCCCAGGCCCCACTACTGCTGACAGGTTGAGGGACCTGAATGATGCTGTACTCCATCTAATAGAAGAATCGGGAGCTCAGGGAATGATCTAGAAAGAAGAAAGAAGGCAGCAGGAGAAGCTGAAGTTAGAGTAGCAGAAATGGCCAGGCATAGTAGCACATACCTTTAGTGCCAGCGCTTGGGAGGCAGAAGCAGGCAGAGCTCTGTGAATTCTTAGCCAATGGGGACTGTATATTGAATTCCAGACCTGTCATAGCTATATAGTGAGACCCTGTCTTAAAAAAAAATAAAGATTAATAGAAATGGATAAGAGAGGAGTTGGAGAGATGGCTCAATGGCTAAGAGCACTTGCTGCTCTTGTAGTGAACCTGGGTTTTGTCCCAGCACCCACATGGAGTCTCACGCAGAATTTCATTTTCATGGATTTGATGCCCTCATCTGACATCCACAGTACACACATGGTGCACATACATAGACACAGGCAAAACACCCATGCACATAATAAAATAATCCAAAGAAGGAAAAGAAAAAGAAACAGATAGGAGGCCATCTAAATGATGTCTAATATTCAACTTTAAATTTTCTCCTAAACTTCTGGAAAAGTCTACAGCAAGCGCACCATATATGTGAATGGTTCTCATAAAATCCTAATAATGAGATGCCATGTATCAGCCATTTAATAAGTCCTGGGCATCGTATTAACATATATAGGTATACTATTTATGCTGTAGTAACTTAGGAAGACATATGTTGTACCTTTCCTAGGTAACTAGATTGAGACACTTACACAAGGGCACATAACCAATACATAATGTTTGGGGTTTTCTTTTCTTCCTTGTGGTGCTGGGGATGAAACCCAGGGCTTTGTACATGCTCGACAAGCATTGTACCAATTGAGCTACAACCCCAGTCTTCATTATTTGTTTTTACAAAACCCAAGATTGACAAGCATAGAGTTATGTGTGGTGGTATATTATTTATGATTTATTAAAGTTTGCCTGAGAATTCAGAAAACAAAGTCAGCCACAAGCTTATAGAGGTTAGTAGTGGTGGCACATAACTTTAATTCCAGGACTCAGGAGACAAAGTCAGATGGATTTGAGTTCAAGGCCACCCAAGCCTACACAATATTGGATCAGTGTAAAAGAATAACAGAACTCACACCTTTAATCCCAGGACTCATGAGAGGTATTTAAGACAGGAACAGAATCTCGGAGCTAGCAGTCATTCTCCAGACACATTGAGGATAGGAAGACATTGATATCTCTAGCCACAAAGAGACAGTCTGAGTGAATCTGGGGAGCAGTGAAGTTGGGAGCAGTTTGAGGTTCGCCCCTTTGGTCTGAGCTGAGGTAGAGGTAAGAACTAGTGGCCAGCTGCTTTGCTTTTCTGAACTTCAGCTTGAAGCTTGAACCCCAATATCTGTCTCTGGGTCTTTTATTTTTTTTGTGCTACAGTTATGAAGTGTTAGTCTCTCTATATGTACTTTACATAATCAATTAGCTTCATACCTATTGGGGTGTTTTGTGTGTCGTAGGTCAGTTGAGGGAAGAAGGAACTCCAAGATGAAGTTTTAGGGCCAATGTGATAGCAGGAAGGTCCAGCCTCTCTGATGGACTGAACCCCAAACAGCTGTACAAAGATGTATTTATTGATTGTTATACAAAGTTGGTTTTGGGGTAAAGTATTTCCTCATACCAATGTCCTATCTAATCTATATGTCTCTTTAAAGGAGAGCATCGCCTGCCCGCATGACTTTAGTCCTTTATTGTGTGTCATTTGCAATACACAATAATCCAAGAGCCCCAGGTTGTCAGAGGCATCTTCTAATCAAAGTCATGGGAAGGCTGCAATGCCTCTTCAGATAATTCTATAAATCACGGAAAACAATTACTGTTTTCCACAAAGATTCTTTACTGTTTTTCACAAGGATTCTTCAAGGCCAAAGTACTTCCAGAAAACAGCTATTCATTCTAATGTCTATCCCAGATACAGCGACTCTGCTAAATTCCTACAACATACACTCACAACAGAATAATTTTCTTGTACTTAAGACACAGCAGGTGTTGGTGTGTTGTATGGGGAAGTAGCAGTGGAGAAGACAAGTGACTTTTTTTTAAAGGAGTAACTGCAGACTATGCAGTTCTGTTGGACTTATATATTAAATATGCTCTAATCCTATTTCACTTTCTAGATATTGAAAAGGTGGAGCAGACACATTGTGACTTTAAGATAATGAATTAACCGAAAGACAGAGAGTGGAGAGAGGTTTAAAGTACTGTGCAAGATTGCTCGCAGAAAGTGCTTCAAGGTGGGCTGTCTATGCGCTCTTTGGAGGACTGTAGTCCTTGTGATATTATTTAGAGCCATATCCCCAAGTTCAACTCTTCTGTCACTGGCTAGCGAGAGCTCTCCGAGTCTTCACATGTAAATCGTGAAGCTTGCATGATTCAGGGACATTTCTGGAACAGGCTCACTGCCAGCGACCACGCAGGTCCTTGCATCTTTCGGCTGGGAGGGAAGAGAAGTAGGAAAGTGGGTGTGCGAAGGGGTGCAGCAAAGTGCGAACAAGACCGTCAGATCCGGTTAGACACCCTCGGACTCCCTGGGAATTAGCAAAATCTTCACCGAGCCCTGTCTTCCAGAGTGCCAGCCGAGATCGTGGTCGCTGGCTCCGGGTGGTTTCGGCGGCCCCACCCCGCTGGTTTGAGCTGCGTTCTCCCTTTCCTTTACTCCGCCTCCGTCCTCCCGGGGATCAGCCCAGAGGGGCTGTGGCTGGCGCTCCCTGTTTTTCCTCTCCCGCCTCCATCCTCTCGGGGCTCCGCCTACGAGGG